GTAGTTTGGCCAGGATGTTACGGCGAATACGACATCCCGTCGGAAATAGAATCGGATTGCATTCTCGCGATCGAGCCTCACACTGACGCTTCTCGTACGAAAGATTGGCCCAGTCCGCAAATTGCTCAGTCTGTCGCAGGCAAAATACGCATCGTGAATAACACGTCAGTACCGCAATTCATACAACGAAATGAACATTTCTGTCGAGTACGACTTACGACTACCGTAGACAACGCACCAGAGGCTCCCGACAATATCCGTGACCTAAAAACAACAAACTACATAGACACAACACATACTTCCCACTTTTTCAAACAAGTCTCTGTAGACCCAGATAATTTACTTAGTCCAGATCTCCAAACCAAGTTTAATGAACTTCTGCGAAAGTTCAGTGAAGTTTTTAGTCCTAGTTTTGAAGGGTATAATGGGGCAATAGGTCCCTTTGAAGCATCTGTTAATATGGGTCCTGTCCAGCCTCCCCAAAGGAAAGGTAGAATGCCACAGTATTCAAAAAATAATTTTGTAGAACTCCAAAACAAATTTGACGAATTGGAAAGTAAAGGAGTGTTCCGTAAACCCGAAGACGTCGGAATTTCAGTCGAGTATATTAACCCTTCATTTCTTGTCAAAAAAGCTTCCGGTGGTTTCCGACTTGTAACGGCATTTGCCGATGTTGGCAGATATAGTAAGCCGCAACCCTCTCTTATGCCCGACGTGGATTCCACACTCCGTACGATCGCACAGTGGAAATATATAATCAAGTCTGATCTTACAAGCGCATTTTACCAAATCCCCCTGGCAAAAGATTCGATGAAGTATTGCGGAGTCGCGACCCCTTATCGTGGGGTTCGCGTATATACACGTTGTGCGATGGGAATGCCTGGTTCCGAAACGGCTCTTGAAGAACTAATGTGTCGTATTGTGGGGGATTTCTTACAAAAGGGTTGCGTAGCTAAATTGGCAGATGACTTATTTTGTGGCGGTAATACCCCGGAGGAGCTTTTATACAATTGGGAATGCGTTCTTCAGTCGCTACAAAAATCAGGAATATGTCTATCACCTAGCAAAACTGTTATTTGCCCAAAATCGATAACAATCCTAGGTTGGATTTGGTCACAGGGTTCAATTTCCGCTAGCACACACAGAGTAGCAACACTAGCCTCGTGTCCCGTACCAGACACTGTGCGGGGTCTTCGATCATTTATCGGTGCTTACAAGATGCTAAGCCGCGTTATACCGAATTGTTCCAACTTAATAGCCCCATTAGAAGAGAAAATAAGTGGTATGCAATCAGCTGACAAAATTATTTGGTCCGACATGCTAAGAGAACATTTCGAGTTTGCCCAAAAGTCTCTGAGCTCCCGTAAAGCCATCACGCTACCTAAATGCAGTGATCAACAGTGGATAGTCACAGACGGATCTGTCACTAAACGCGGTATCGGAGCGACCCTATACATAAACCGTGACGGTAAAGTGTCCTTAGCAGGATTTTTCAGTGCTAAGTTGCGTAAACATCAGGTGTTGTGGCTACCGTGTGAAATCGAAGCGCTTTCCATTGCCGCTAGTGTCAAACATTTCAGTCCCTTTATTATTCAGTCAAAACTGCAAGCTAATGTGTTGACAGACAGTAAACCATGCGTACAGGGCTTTGAAAAACTATGTCGTGGTGAATTTTCGGCCAGTCTGAGTGTCACATCGTTTCTTTCCGTTGTAAGCCGATACCAGGTCAGCGTCAATCATTTATCTGGTCGTGCAAATATTCCATCCGACTTTGCAAGCAGAAACGCACCCGTATGTACAGAGCCTAATTGTCAGGTTTGTTGCTTTATATCGCGTACCGAAGATTCTGTCGTACGAGCCGTAAGCATTCAAGACGTTCTCAATGACGAATGTCGCCTACCTTTCATCACCAGGTCGGCCTGGATTAATATTCAATCAGAATGCCCTGATCTTAGGCGCACTCACGCTCATCTAAAACAAGGCACTCGGCCCTCCAAAAAACTGACAAACATCAAAGACGTCAAACGTTACCTAAATGTTGCATCAATCGCCAAAGACGGTTTGTTAGTTGTTCGGCGTTGTGATCCTCTTGCTCCACCCAACGAATTGATCATTGTTCCACGTAGCGTTCTTGACGGACTCGTCACCGCTCTACATATTAGGTTGGACCATCCGTCAAAACACCAATTAAACCTTGTCTTGAAACGTCACTTTTACTCTTTAGATATGCCAAAGGCGGCCGAACAGGCTAGTGACTCCTGTCACACATGCGCGTCTTTAAAACGGTTCACTAAGAGCCTCGTCGAGCAGTCTTCAGAAGACCCACCGGACTTGGTTGGCATATCTTACGTGGCCGACGTTCTTAAGCGCAACCGTCAACTCATCCTGGTCGTCAGAGAAACTGTAACTTCATACACTAGTACGTGCTTTATCAAGGACGAAAAACTGGGTAGCTTGCGAGATGGGCTAATACACTTATTGATACCTTTAAAGCCTTTAAACGGTCCCAGTGTTGTCGTTCGTGTTGACCCAGCCCCGGGTTTTCGCCCTTTATGTGGCGATTCCTATTTAAAGAAGCTCAACATATCAATTGAAATTGGCCGTGTCAAAAATCAGAACAAAAATCCAGTTGCCGATAAAGCCATCGCTGAGCTTGAAGACGAGTTACTTCGTGAGGAACGCGATAATTCTCCTCTATCTGAAAATACACTAGTTATTGCTACCACGAGACTTAATTCAAGGCTTCGCCAGCGTGGATTGTCCTCCCGCGAACTATGGACTCAAAGAAGTCAGTTTACTCATGAACAATTGCCAATTTCTGACATGAACCTTATTCGCGCACAACACGAGGCCCGAAATAAAAATCACGGATTTAGCGAAATATCTAAATGCAGTCGACCCGGACGTCCGATCCCTGATATTTCTATAGGGGATTTGGTTTACCTTTATACCGACAGGTCAAAGACCCAATCGAGAGATCGGTACCTTGTTGTAGCGCGTGATGGCGAATGGTGTTTCATCAAAAAATTTTCAGGCAATCAACTCCGCGCCTCGTCCTACAAAGTAAAACTTTCGGAATGTTATAAAGTTTTAAACACTATAAGTGTCCACCGAAATCCAAGATATTCTCAGAACGAATACAATCAGGAGTCTGAATGTGATGACTATGATGAAGATAGCCTTCCTGGGCCTATCTGTGACCTACCACCAGCTCGCGCGGAGCCCCCGCCTATTCTTATTTGCGAAAATATCGACGATGTTGAAAATTTGGACGAGCCGACTGGGCAACCTGATAATAGTCTCGAACGTGACTTGACACATAGTAAGTCAAGCAATGAACAAGATAATAAACGCGTTCTCCGTAAGCGCTCCGAATTGAAAACGCCAGTGCGGTTTAAAGATTTCATTGCCTTTTAAATTTAATGCTCACTCGTCCTTAGGTTGTTAACTTAGAGATACGTCATACTTCTTTCTGTATTTTATTTACTGCTCATTTTATGTTTATTACAATGTGCATGCACAGTACTTTTTGTTTAACTACTTATACAATATATATATACATTCATTTGATTGCATTCGATGAAGATATAGAAAAGACTTTAAAGGAGAAAAGAAATGTCAGAATTATTTTGTTTCTTATTGATAGTTATGTGTTTAGTTTATGCATATTGATCACATTTATTTTCATATATGTTCTTACGATAACAGAGATTATTAGTTAACAATTGTGAGGATATTAGATGTAAAGAGAGAGAGAGAGAGAGACTTTAAAGGAGATAAGAAGTTGCGCCAGTGTATTGTATTGATTACATGTATTGATTTGTATTATCTCCCTTACTCCATGTGTCATATACATGTATGATTATTGATGGGTTATTTTCCTTTTTTGTTTACCGCCTCACGATCATTATTAAATGTGCCTTTCTAACGATCACATGTGTTATAGTTTTCTCTGCTTACTGGCGCTGACTTTTCTCATAGGATAAATACTGATTTCTCTCAAATAGGATAAATACTGACTTCTCTCATATAGGTTAGATACCGACTTCTCTCATAGGATAAATACTGACTTCTCTCATAGAATAAAAACTGACTTCTCTCATATACGAGACAATATGATTTGTCAAAATTGACAAATTCATAAAGGTTCCTTAATCTAAAGAAAAAAAAATATATAATGTAATAACGATAAATGTGATATTCCAGTTGACCGTTTAATAGAAAACAATTATTAATCAAGTAGACCGGAAGTATTGAAATGTATCACTAGGTGGTCAAATTGTCACATATCACGACCGAAGCAAAGGTTATGTTTAAAAGAACCAAGTGTAATGCGGCCTACCTGCCCGGCTCCTCTAGAGGCAAGGGTTGTTGTCACTGTGGTAGCGTTTAAAGGCATAATATTAAAGTCAAGGGTTGTTTATCATATAAGGTTCTTGTTTATTCAAAATTCAAGTTGCCCTTGAGTTTCAAGTCCATAAATTGGATTCCGACATAATTTTCTATTTCTAAGTCAAAAATTTAGGATCAACAATTTTATATCCAATTAACCAAAAGTTAGAAATGGGAGTGAGAACATTACAATACTCACACGCCGTTATATTTAAAGTAAAACATCACACTCTCAAAGGAAATATAATAATGGTTGAAAGGAAAACCTTGATTTATTTGTATCCGAAAGTGAAATGAAAATATTAAATGCTAATATTATTTCTTTTTGTCTTATGAAAAGTTGGTATAATTCTGCTTCGAAAAGGTACGCAGTACAACTATTATTATTCTAAAACAGAACATCTGATACTTAATTAAATAAACAACAGGCTGTCAAAACAATAGTCAGCCGGGTTTTCATTACAGTTATAAGTTTCATTGTTAAAGCTATCAAGGGTCATAACTCCTGACAAACACACCGGCTATAAAAACCAAAATATGTAGGAAAACCCGGTTAAAAAATAAAATATAATAAACCTTCAATAAGAATAACGCTAATAAAAAAACTGTACAGATATTTGTTTTTTATTGTAAATTTCCAATTTTTATCTATTGATTTTTTTTTCAAATAAAACATCAGTTTATCATAACATACAAAAAACATGTGAACAATGAGAAACGTATATATCGATCAAAAATATTTATGCACGATCATTGCTCTTTCTGATTTATTCATAGCTAAAGCTGATGTTGACGTCTTTCATTTCATTTCTGTATATGGCATCAAACTGGTCATTTTGAGCAACAGTAAACCAGTTCTTCCAGTCTCCAGTTTTTCCTGGACATGAAAAAAAAAATAATAATTTAGACATGCATTGGACCAAGCAAAATAAATATAAAAATTATGTTCCTTATACAATTCTTTCAATATTCAATTTTTCAATGAAAACTTCACATTAAAAGCGGACCACGGTGTATACTAACAGACCCTTGGTCAGTTTTATAAACTGTACATTAGCTGATTGGTTAATTAATATTACATTTTGTAGATGATGCAAGAATTTTTTGACACAATGAAAATATGTGTATTTTGTATTCCATATCAGGTGTTAACTGTAATTATCTATTTATATATATATATTTTTTTTAGGAATTCTGATAACAAGTGTTTTGTTTGGATGATGTTCCATTATTAAATAGATAGTTAAAGTTACTATGAAGAAAGGTTCCATCACCCATAAATGAGAATGCCATTATTGATGGTAGATTATTCCCCTTTACATCATATTTATTATTTTTGTTCACCCTCATTTTATTGGCTTTATATGAAAAGCAGGATGCTTTCACCCTTCAGATAAACCTAGTATCACTTCTGGTTTTGATTCGAGTTCATTTAACCAAATGTTTGATTTTAAAATGCAAATGTTCGTATCCGTCCCATAGCTTTGTCCTTGTGAGTGTTCGTATATCCGTCGTTTCTAGTTTGTCCGTACAACTTGAAATGTCTTATAGCTTTGTCCTTGTAAGTGTTCGTATATCCGTCGTTTTTAGTTTGTCCGTACAACTTTAAATGTCCCATAGCTTTGTCCTTGTGAGTGTTCGTATATCCGTCATTTTTAGTTTGTCCGTACAACTTTAAATGTCTTATAGCTTTGTCCTTATGAGTGTTCGTATATTCGTCGTTTTTAGTTTGTCCGTACAACTTTAAATGTTCTATAGCTTTGTCATTGTAAGTGTTCGTGTATCCGTTGTTTTTAGTTTGTCCGTACACATGTACATGGACCATGGCTTAGTATTTGTAAATGTTCGTATCCGTCATTTTCTAGCTTTTCGTTACACGTCTCCAATGACGCCTTTATCAGTGTTCGTGTCTGTCATTTTCTTGTTTGTCAGTACACGTTTCCCATGACGCTATTATCAGTGTTCGTATCAGTCATTTTCTAGTTTTTCAGTACACGTCTCCCATGACGCCTTTATCAGTGTTCGTATCCGTCATTTTCTAGTTTTTCAGTACACGACTCCCATGACGCCTTTATCAGTGTTCGTATCCGTCATTTTCTAGTTTTTTAGTACACGTCTCCCATGACGCCTTAATCAGTGTTCGTTTACGTCATTTTCTAGTTTTTTCAGTAAACGTCTCCCATGACGCCTTTATCACTGTTCGTATCCGTCATTTCTGTTTGTCCGTTACAGTATACACCTGTCTCATGGCTTCGTATTTGTTATGTTTGTGGATTAAGTTGTCTATTTTACGTTTATTGTTGTAACTTTTATCTGTCGGTTTTTGAATTGTTTCATATTGTGTCATCCCTTTACCTTTTATAGCTTACTATACGGTATGGGTTTTGATCTTTGTTCAAGGCCATACGGTGAACTGTGTTGACGCCTTTGTCATTTTGTCTTTGGTTCATAGACGATCATACCACTTCTTATTTTTTTTATATCAGTATCTTTTACATGTTATTCATCCATTGTCAGGTTTAATGTTTGATGACGTCTAATTTACCTTGTCTAAATAATGATGACGGTTGACCTTTTACCCTAAAAGGCATAACCTTATTTTCCTTTAATTTGTGAAACGAGCACTTGTCAACTACACCTGCGACTAGATTTTCGTTATAAGGTATTTCTAAAAATTCAGCAAGTCGTGTTATTACTTCAGTTGGGTTCTAAAAGAGAGAAAAAAAAAACATATGACGGCGCAATATAAAAACAAATTTTATTTTCAAAATTTTATTTGAGAGTAACTTATGAATGTAATGATTAATCATGGCAGACATACTGTATGACTACAAAATACATATGTCATAATCTCATTGAGATTAATAAAAATTGAAGATTTCTTTTTTTTCGTAAACACGGTTTAAAAAAAATCTGTAACTTGAAAGAAAGTAATAAATTTCATTCATATTTTATATTGTATTAAATACAATAAATTATTATATAATTATGTTTTGTTGTTGCTGTTCTTTTAATTTTTTTGGTGCAGAAATATGATACATGCCCGTTGTACAATGTACAAAAATGTTACCTTCAATATATCTTCATACATTAGATGAATAATGTTTGCAGGATTTTTTTCAACAGCTTCAATGAATTCCTTTGTATAGTTGAACCATCCTGTACACAGCGTGTCTTAAATGTATAAAGTGTCCATTGCATATGTCAGTATTACTAAACATTGCATAATTTATACTGAATATTAAAATCAATATAAATACTGGATATATTTCAGTAGTCAAAGGGCAGGATTGAACATGGTTGAACATATAACGAATGGGCTAACACTATGAACCACCAATGTTGAGGAAATCTTCCTTGTATTTTACTTAATAGTACGAAAAATATAGAAAAATTAAGATATCCGGGAGATTATTCACAAATCATCCGTTGAAAAACGGACCCGTTAATATCCCTGTTAATTTTCCGTTAATTCGGATGTGTATTCAAAAAACACCCGCTATTTAACGTCTCCGTTAAAAGTTTGGTTTTAAAAAGAAAATTAACGGGTACTTGACGGTAATGATTTATAGGTTTCATAACGAGTGAGAATTGGATATCGTTTTATATCATCGACAACTCGAATTATTTAATTTCAGTATAATAGTTCTTAAATGTTATCAATTTAACACTGTATAGTTAGATCTGTGAAAATTGTTTTTATCATTGCTTTTGTTTTTTCCTATACAGTTATGAAAACTATTGGTCCTACATTATGTCGATACTATGTACTTAAATTTTGGCGAAGATATTAATTCTATCCATACCTTTTAAATGTCTTTGACAGATGTTTCGACAGGATCACGATATATACTTTTATTTACTTTCCAGTTTTGGATGATTTTTTTAATAGGAAATTTTGGACTTAGATATATATCATAAATAAAGTTTGTCATTAGAGATTTTAAATATTTCAACTTATTCAGTATATATTTTGAAAATATTGGCAAAAAATCATAATTTGCATTACATTTACACATTATAGAAATAAAGAGATGTGGTATGATCGCCTGCATACGGAGTATATATCTCCCAATTGATACGATATTCCCGGGCTTGTATTTCCTATCATGATTCCCTTGATAGAGGATTGCTGCTCACAAGGAAGCTATTAAACCAAGAGTTCCAAATGGCGAAGTTGAAATCATCCCTTCGTAAATTTTACGGACGCCATCACGAGTTGGTTGACCGTTATGGAATAACCGTTTCACAGATGATATCGGATATGTTCCTTATGTCGTAACTACAATACCCTTCCCTTTTCACGAATGTGACTTACCGAATTAGACTATTTACCGGATTTGTAATAACATAAGCAACACGACGGGTGCCACATGTGGAGCAGGATCTGCTTACCCTTCCGGAGCACCTGAGATCACCCCCAGTTTTTAGTGGGGTTCGTGTTGCTTAGTCTTTAGTTTTCTATGTTGTGTCATCTGTACTATTAATCGTCTGTTTGTCTTTTTATTTTTGGCCATGGCGTTGTCAGTTTGTTTTCGATCTATGAGTTTGACTGTCCTTCTGGTATCTTTCGTCCCTCTTTTCTTTGACAATGAAACAGCTATCCAACCAAGTTCAAATGAAGTGGATTTACGCAATTATAGGCAACTGTACGGCCTTCAACAAAGAAAAAAACCCATACCGTTTAGTCGCCTATAAAAGGCCCCGACATAAAAAATATCAAATTCAATTGAGAACGGCCTAATTTATAACAAAACGATCTACGAAAAACAAATATGACAGACATGAACCACCGACAACCACTGAACTCCTGACTTGGGACAGGCACATAAAGAATGTGGCGGGGTTTAACATGTTTGTGAGCGCTCAACCCTCCCCTAACATGGGACAAGTGGTGTTACAGTACAACATAAGAACAAACTATAAAAATCTGTTGAAAATGGCATAACTCATCGGATCGATACAAAGCAGACAAAAATTCACTAGTAACAAAAACACATACCAGACCTGGCAGGGTATTTATACATGAAGTACCGTGAAAATGTATACTATTTAGCATGGTTTTAATTTACTGAAAACAAATTCCATATTTATACCAATAAAAACAATATTCAAAGATCTTATTACAGTGTTGAATAGGTAACCTTTTAGAATACGTTTATTTAAAGGATTGACAAGTTTACCCGGATCGTATTTAAATTTCCGGGCTCGGTAAACAACATTACCGTAAAATCTGAAATAAGTTTTTACAAATACAGACAAACTTGAAAACCAAATCTTTGTATCTATTGAAGAATTTAGTAATGATTTTAAGTAATTTGTGGTAACGAAATCCCTGACTTAATATTTAACTAGTAATACATAAATTACGCTCATTGAAATATAAAAACGTCACTACAGACACGGGCATAGCGAACGAGTTTGGGATATATAAACACCATATGACGGTGCCAAAGAAACATCGCCGTCTAAAAAAAGGAAAATTAACACTAATAAATTGATTATTTAACGAAAACATATCATCAAGATAACGGTAAGTGTTGTTGAATTTATAAATTAAATGGAATTTAGACGGGCCTTTACTGAGTTTGGCCATAAACTGTGATTCATAACAGTACAAGTCTGCTATTAAAGGGGCACAGTTGGTGCCCAAAGAAATACCTACAATATGTCGAAAAACTTTATTGCCGAAACGTACATAAATGTTTTCATGATTAGAAAATCTCAGTTTTGCAAAACGGTGATATCTTGTCATCACATTTTGTCAGTATCCGTATATATAATTATATCCAATGTAATGTAACAAATTTTCCGGTTTCCAATTTTCGGAGATTTTATGATAAAAAGTCTTAGTATTTGCCTCTAAATACTTATTTCTGGTCATGATATCTTGTTTACATATCCAGTAAATACACGACGACAAGTTACGTATATATCTTCTATTTGCTGTATTTGTTAATGTACGTGCGTTTATGCCTTTCACGAAGTGATATACCTATTCCTTACCATGTAAAACCATTTCAACAAAGTAATCATTCCAACTATAGTCTTCAGGAACTCCCATCTTTCCCAGTAAAAAATTGTAAAGAGAAACATGTCTATCCTTTGGATTTCGGCTGACAAAAACTATTTTTCTTCCATTTTCAACGTGTTTCGTTGGCAGGAAGCTAAATGGGAGGTGAGTGTGAAGTATTCTTGGCTCCGATTGACTTTCCAGAGAGTCGAAGTCTGCCATCATATCCATGTGTGTACTGAACAGCGGCTGTGGACAATACTCTGTTGTCTGTCGTGATAACATGTAAATAATCTCATGCAACCAGTGGGTGCCTGCAAATATCATCTAACGTTAAATTAAAATATAATGTTACCAGTATAAAGGGACAAGGTAAAGGTCCGAATTGGTTAGGTTCCTACTGGTATAAATGCATTTTTATACCGATTTACGTGCAAACAGGCTCGTTTGTTTGTATATTTTTCATTAGGCACGCTTATATCAAAAGATTTGGAAAATCCGATATAATACCTGGAACGTTTTAACAAAAGGGCGTGTATTCATCTGATGGGTTGAGCCTTTTTGAACTGATTTTTATAGTTAGTTCTTATGAGGGAAAAGGAGGGGGGGTGGATGGGGTTGGCGCCTTCAAACTAGTTGAACCCCGCCACATTCTGTATGTGCCTGTCGCAAGTCAGGAGCCTGTAATTCAGTGGTTGTCGTTTGTTGCTGTGTATCATATTTGTTTTCGTTCATTATTTTTTGCATAAATTAGGCCGTTAGTTTTTCTCGTTTGAATTGTTTTATATTTGTCATTTCTGGGCCTTTTATAGCTGACTATGTGGTCACTATTGAAGGCCATGCGGTGACCTATAGTTGTTAATTTCTGTGTCATTTGGTCTCTTGTGTAGAGTTGTCTCATTGGCAATCATACCACATCTTCTAATTTGTATATATATATAAACAGAAAATGCTGAGATTTTGGAGTACTAGTATGTAAGCAATAAAATGTTGGGTAAATAAAAATTCCTACACTCCGATGACACCGAGTTAACGAAGTATTTTCTTATGAAGTGTTCCAGTGTTCCCTTTCTCGTTTTTATACCGGTGTGTTGAATTGAAAATTCCTACGATCTTTCTATGTTGCTGTGGTTGATCAAATATTACTTTAATTTCTTTTTTTTATTTTAGAAAAGATATTTTGGGGAGAATTTTGGCATATTTTGCCAAAATTAAATTATTTTTGTAACTTTTAGGCAAGATTTGCAAAATTCCATTTTTGGGAAAAGTTGGCAAAATTGTGTCCCCGGGTGTAAATAGCTATATATTTATTTGACAGTTGTGGTTTTGCCATCGATATAGTTTTTGTAATAAATATGAATTTGACTAAGTTTCTGAGCTCGAAGTTAACAGAATTTTCTTAGAATTCCTACCTGTGTTTATTTTTTTATCTCCTTTCATTAATATCAGGATTTTAGGTCCATATTTGTTCAAAGCCTTTAAGTTTTCATTCATTTTATTCTCAGCGGATTTTACCGTCAAAACAGAAGTGGGAATTAGCTCGTGCAGAAGCGCGAACTTTTAGTATTTTAGTCAATCCGGGCATGATATGTTAAAATTATTGGTAGTCTTTCGAGTAGATAGTTATTTTGGTATCATAAAAGCTAGATATTTTACGAAGTTAAAACCTGTGAACTGTAAAGGGTTCATTTAAGTTTAAAAGGTCAGACTTTTTCTATTCTATAAGTCCGTACATTTCTCTTTTTCAGGGGTTCGTGTCGAAATGCGACAGGTATGTTACCCGAGGGAATTGTTTTCAATTCTAGTTTTTGATACCGTTTACTTAATTTAATACCAGAGAGGAATGTTTCAATCTAATTAAAATTGGTATTCAAACTTGCGCAATTTTGTAGCTTATAGCCTCATGTGTGTAAGTATAATTTTTGTTAGGATTTTTTATAGAATACTCACGGTAGGTAAACTGTCACACGAATCCTTGTTTAAAGTAAGACAAATAAAATAAATAAGTAGAATTTGTTTGATATTTGATGCTGATTCAATTTTGTACTTTATTATAATAAAAGTTGTACTCTAAATATCTTTGTTTTCCAATCCTACAAGCATCCGAGATATACGAACCAGGAAGGGTACTCCACTACGCGGTCCAGGACTTGTCCTTACCGAACCCCACCGTGTACTGGGACCTGCTCCTATTACATATAGATGAACTGGGATGGGCTGTTATTTACACCCGGGTAATTAACCAATTAGATTGCAATATTCTTTCTTTATAAGAGACAACATTTGTTACGTATAGTATTTTCCCGTCCGTTATTTAATTCCATGCTTTGTGTTGTGCGATCCCTTATTAACTTTATGTTTTGTGTTGTATATAACAATTGTTACCTGATTTTGGTGAAGTACCTAACATTATATCACTGCTCCTTGAATCAAATTCCTTCAATAGCTGTAGGTGTTTCCCAGGATTTTCCTCATTACAAGGCCAGGGAGCAAGCGTAAAGTCCTTATATTTGACCAGGGGAAAGACTTTCAATCTAAAATGTCCAATATGTATATGCAGAAATAACAATAAATTTGAACAGTGTATTGCTTTTTGATTGCAGGATGAAGCCGAAACGTGAAGTAGCGACGTACAGCAATTGATTTATTGCAGAATTGACCAACCCGTGCTATCCGGAGCACCTGAGTTCACACAGAGTTTTTGTTCCTCAATCCCTAGTTTTTCTGTGAAGTGTTCTTCCACTGTTATCTTTTATTTGTTAGTTATGGTGTTGTCTGTCTACTGAATTATGTTCGTTTAACTTTAAGTACCTCCTTGGTATCTTCTTTTTGCATATAAATGATATGAAAGCTCTAAAACGTTGGAATATTAGGTTATACGGTTAGATAATTCACGTGTATTGATAGCTTATTATTGAAGTGACGTCTGTATGTTAGAAAATAAACAGTAACCAATCCGCCGTTATATAATTTCTTATATCACAGGATCTGACTACTTACAAAACATATTTTAAAAGGAGAATGGTTGCGGTTTTGGCGGGTTCTTTCATGTTATTATAAATATTCATAGTTTTCTGTGTAACTAATAGAAATATTTGAATACATAACAAACAATTATTGACGGAGATCGGTTCAAGAATACAGCCGAGTAATTATAGATACTATGTATATATTGTCTTTAAAATTTCCCCCTAAACAAAAGGGGAAACAATAAATAATAAACAAAAACATTTTGAATAGCTTCGTGCAGGTTTGTTGGTTTCCTCTAAGATGTATTCACTTTTCGTCATTTGGCGCCTTTTATAGCTTCCAATAATGTTTTCATTGCTGTTTAAGACCGTATCGTTACATCAACGTTATACTTGTTTACATCCTAAATAAAATAAGGGGTATGATTACCAATGCGACAACTATCTCTTAGAGACCAAGTGATGTATAGAAGTTAGCAACTATAGGTCAACATACAGCCTTCAACAATGAGCAAAACTCATGCCGCATTGCAAGCTATAAAAGGCCACGAAAGGACAAATGTAAACCATTCAAACGATACAACTAACAGTCGGAATTGTACAAAACAACGAAAAAGAAATATGATATATACAGCAACAAAAACCACTGAATTACAAGCTCCTTAATTGGGACAAGTTTATCTGTTATATTGCTGCCGAGTAAATGTAAATATAAATATCTTACCTTGACATCTTTAGTGATTTATAAATACATAAATATACATGTATTTATATACTTGTTATTGGTTTACTGAAGTAAAATGTATTGAAATCATGTTCGTTCAAGTCTATCGTTTATACGGAAGATGAACTACAACACAATAATGTATTCTTAGGTCATATGTTTATACACGTATCAATTTACACGAAAGGTTGACAGCTATGTACATGAATAAATGAATCAACAATGATCGAAAAGAAATGTTCATGCGGAAAAAAATTGACGCCACTTTTCATAAAATTAAACGTTTGTCTCTAAATATAAATATGTACATGCGACTATATTATATAAATTGCATAGGTAAAAAAAATCCTTTATTGATTTAGTGTAAACAGAAATATCCCCCTTAAGGTGGCACGGTAGTATTTCCTGGCCCATAAGGGATAATGATAGCCTTTTTAGAATTTTCACCACTTTCTAACACTGCAAAAAATTCTACATTCACAGTAAACTGAAGAACTTTCATGTTACTATTCAGAAATGAATTTGAATGTGTATCATGACCGTTTACTTATTTTGCTATTTTTAAAAATCTAAGGCCACTAGTGCTTTTATGTCTTTTATCGTGCAGTGAATACAAAATTTAAAAAATATCTCAAAAATTCATTTTCATCTATATGTAAAATTATTTCATATTTTTCTACACCTGATTCATCCCTCAGTTTGGGAAAGTATGTTCAGTTGATACGATATTTTTTGTCCAATCACACTGTTCAGATACATTGACTTAGGTAGGGTACACAAAAGAGCAACCTAAATACTGGAATGCAAATACTACCGTGCTACCTACACGTACACATAAAATAATGATAAAAAATCAATACGCACTGATGGTTTCCAGAGTTATCCTTCTTATCATAGAAAAATAAAAATTGAATAATATGACCATAACATAATAATCCGTGCAGTGATAACTACGTCTGATATTGGATGGCTTTTGAACTGTTTTAATTCAGCATTGGTCAAGTGAAAAAAAAAGAAAAAAATACTGATTACACCTACACGTACAATATCTCGTTTCAGCTGTCTATTTTGAAGTTCTTACGAGCCGATAATAAGAAAACATGTAGTTTGATGATTTAAGAGGTTTACAGAACAAGTTTGTCCACGTCTCAACACATTTTGTATAATTTTATGTTTTTACAATATTCACAGAATGATTATATGTCTGAATAGGTTAATGTCATGAAAAATATTCTTGATACTTGTGGTTAAAATAATAATATCTGGTTGGTACACACTGACTTTTGCGCAAAATTGCTAAATGTTAGTTAAGTACAAAATGTTTGACCAATTTCTACTAAACTAGCAATTTAGAATTTATAGCGGTACAACTTCAGCAGTTTCAGAAAGACCAATTTCGTTGATTGATTCGACCCGCAAAAAAGCAGTCTTAAACAGGTTATGGGTAAATAATTTACAATACCTATGAAATAAGATCAAACAGAACGAAGAAATCTACTTCAAACTGTTACACGTGCTTACTATTTGTATTTTCTGTTTACCTGTCTGTTTCTATTCATAATTAAAACAGGGACATTGGTGTCCAAGTGGTCTAAGTTGGCCAACTAGCCTGTCAACACTCAGGTTGTGAGTTCGAATCCCGCACGTAGCAGGTACGCTCGAGTCCAATCTTAATTGACTTGGATTTTAAATTTTCCTGCCGAAGGTCGGTGGTTCTTTCCGGCACTCCGGCCTCCCTATACCGATAAAATTTGACCGCCACGAAATAGCACAATAGTTATAACGGGATCACATGTCCATCAACAATTTTCATTGGTCTTGTCGCTAGATGGCGTCCAGTCAAGAATACACAGGTTTATAACAAACCCAGGCATTGTGCATTGTTTGCTATGGAATCTTTGTAGTTCTGAATTACGTTTTAGTTTACACGGTATATACATGGTATATACATCGTATATATTAAATCAAATTTGAGAAATTGAAAATATTCTACGGGTATAAATTATAAATTTGGTATCTAATGCCCCTTAAAAGAAACTGAAATACTGAAAAGATATATCTCGGAAAATCTCTCAACTATTTCAACAGCAAGGGCTACCAGGGTGATAGCTTCAATAATTCAGTAAAAATGGTTCTCTCTTCTGATGGTCTGACCATTTTAACATTCTCTGGCCTCTTAAAAAAACAAACGATTTGAATTGTATTTAAGACTTCATGACACCTGTTAGGATTGTTGTTTTGATTTCTGTGTTCTTTAGCGACAGTATCCAACTGTAGCTACCTTAACTAGCTTTGTGTAATAGCGAGGATAATTTTACCATGATTTTCGATCATCCTGTTGGTTGCGGGGTTTTCATGATGTGTTATTTTTACGACACATTGTCTAAAGGGGCAAAAGAAGGGGGAGCATCTGCACACGAAAAACTGGTTCTGTACACATGTTTTTTATGGAGGTGTGATTTTCGGGATACTGATCTAATGGAGGATGATTGATGATTAAAATTAATTTTACATATGACAAACGATCTAGAATGTATATTGATAAACAAAACAACGACAAGTTTTAAAATAATTTGATTGATTGATTGATTGATTGATTGATTGTCTTTATTTCCTCCAATATATGGAGATTGACATATAGTTAATACATACAAATGGAAATTAACAAGCTATATACAACATATTATGAACACAATACGACAATAAGGTCATTACACTACATGATGTTTATAATGTCCAACATATAATAAATACAAAAAAGAGAGAACAAATGCACATACAACTTTGCCTATTTAGTGACCAAAATTAAAATTATGGTAAAATAAAACACTTTTGAAGTGATTGTACAATTTCAACATTTGACCCGTTAAGCACAGCATCAGTTGTTTCCTCACATCAGAGTTCAGTTGTTTTACATAACCATTTACTCCACCAAGTAATGTCACAAGCATATCGTCTTCGTCCTGCTGAAATAGTTTTACAGAATCTTGTACCGACAATAAGTTGACTATCGCATAGAACATTTCATTTCGAATATCAACAACATGTTCACAGTTTAGAATCAAGTGTTTTACAATATCATAAGTATAATGGTTACATATAGTACATTGTCCACTCTTAATGGCAACGGATCCTAAACGAATTAGTAGTAAAAGACCTCTTGTGAAAAAAGGGTCCATAGCTGAAAGTCTGACAAGTCTATGATATGTAAGACAATAATGTATTTTATAATAACGGTTGAGTTCCGGTCGACGTTGAACAGACAGTATCCATCTATTTTCTTCAAAAACTTTTATTGACTGACTAACTATTTTGGACCAAAGTCGTTTATCTGGACTATATGCCTCCTCTATATAACTTTCAAGGAATGATAACATATCATATTTCGCTAAAGTTTGTATAAGATCATAAGTTATTGCTGATTTCGCCAAGTCTTCACTGAGTATTTGACCAAATCGTAAATTAAACAAATGCTTATGAGTAGTAGTAACAGACGCTCTACATAATCTACCCAGAAATAAAATCTTAAATTTGTAAATACGACCTTCTATTGTCCAAAGACCTTAATTACTTATACAAGAGTCATTTGGTGACCTTTTATCAAAACATAGGATAAATCGTGTGAAATATCTCTGAGCTTGTTCTAACATTCCAATCTCCGTTGAATTTAAATGTCTCCAAAGTTCATAGGCATAAAGTGCACAAGGAAGGATAAATCTTTTCCATATAATGGTATTTGCGACCGGAGACATGTCATTTGGATTCACACAAATATTATACAGCAAAAGCAAATTTCGCTTTAATTTCTTACAAGCCATATCTGTCCTTCCGAAAGTTCTTCTCGAACAGTCTAGCAGAGTTCCAGCATAAGTAACTGTAGCATTCAACAAAATTGTAGCATCACCGAATGAAAACACGTAATCAGGTTTTTGCATATGCTATTGGGACTAAACAGTAAAAAATTTACTTTTCAAAGCATTATATTTAAGTCTCCATCTTTGTGCATATTCGTGAACAATATTTAAAGTATTTGTAACCCGTTTTTTGAGCTACTGAACAAGGTAGTGTCATCTGCTAAAAGGACACACGGAATATGTAAATATTCAATGATCAATCCACCATTAGATTCTATAAGCTGGTAAATCAAATCGTTAATAAAAAGTGAAAAAGCTAAGCAGACATTACACGGCCTTTACCGACTCCTTGTTCGATCTTAAACACCTTGCTTGTAATTGTTTTGTACTGAACATGAGCCGTTGCAGTTTTGTACCACAAATATATAATTCTCTACATTTTCCCTTCTATTCCAATATTCATAAGTTTGTATAATAGACCATCCTGCCATATTCGGTCAAAAGCCTTTTCATTATCTAAAAATATCGCAAAAACTGGTGAATTGTGTTCATTATAAAAGTCTATCGATTCCTTTAAAGTATAAATCGCAGGAATTGAACTATGTTCTTTGTCAAATCCAAATTGTAGAGGATGAGGCATAACTGTTCCCATTTGTTCTAAAAGAGCTTAAACACGACACAAAATAATCTTTTCCAATAGTTTTCCCAAAACCGAAATTAATATCACTGCACGGTAATTATTTGGTAATGATTTATCTTTGTTATTGCTTTTATATAGAGTTATAATAATTCCATGACGAAAACATAAGGGTAAATATTCGGTTTTAAGAATAATATCATAGAGTTTGCATATATATGTTAAGATAGCCTTTCCACCATAAAGTAAATGTTCATTTCATAAATAATCCGGACCTGGTGCTTTACCACATTTTAGACTACGTAATTGTTCACTAACTTCATCGATCGTGATCTTTCGTTCAAGATATGGTATCACACAATCATCATTACTATCAATATATGTTTGAATAAAATCCTTTATTTTCTTAAAGAAACTTGTACCAAAAAGGTTATCAGAGTCATCGTTATCTGAATATAAATCATGAAAGTAGTCACTCCACATTTCGCATACATTTACATCGTCTGTTGCAACGTTTCCATTGTAGACTAATTTATTTATGTTACAAAATGATTACACAGAAAACGTAAAGATTGAGAACCACGATTCCCACAAAAAACATTTATGGACTCAGAAAATTCAGAGGAGTCAACAGTTCCTGCTTCACA